CATTTTTATTTTATTTTTTTTCTGATTGATCCCTTTCCAAAGAAGTATTCAGGTATTTGTCTTCAATCTCATTAATTCTGTCTTCCATTGCATCAATTCTGCTCCTTTGCCCTTCCAATGTGTTAGCTATTTCTGACAATTTAGTATTAATCTTCTGGATTTCTATTTGTAGATTTAGAATCATTTCTAATTTTTCATTTATTTTGTCATTTTGTTCTTGTGTTTTCTTCCAAAATTCTTCTAGCGTTTTGTCTGTGTTTTCTTTGGTCTGTCTCTCAATCCTTTGAAGATACCTAAATTTCATTCTTTTGAATTCCTTATCAGAGAGATCCAATGCTGCTTCTTCCTCAGGGCTGTGTTCTGGATCTGTACCCTGTTCCCTTGTTTCTACCTCTTTATCTTGCTTCTTTGTGTGGACTGTGATGGTCTGTTGTCTCCAAGGCATCATGGCATTGTTGTATTTATATCTCTGTTAACTGTTTGTTAAGAGCAGCCAAGGGTGATTCAGGCTCTTCTTGGTGGTTTCTTTATCATTGGCCCATTGGTAGAGAAGGAGGTGGTGGCTCTCCCTCAGTAAGTGAAGATGCAGGAGGTGTGGGTGTAGTTGTGTCTTATGGGGACTGTTTCTGTCTCCCACTCAATTAGACAAAGATTACAACTGAATAACCATCAGAAAACTAAAAGCACATGGCCAAAAATACACCATGTAATCACACAGGTACAGTAACCAAAAAAGAAAAAAGGGAAAAAGAAGAAATAAAAAACAAGAAAACTTGCACTATCTGCATATAGGTCAATAAGAGAAAAAACGTAGAGGAGGAGAATAATGAAGAAAAAAATGGGAAAAATGCAAAAAGAAAACCGACAAACAGGCTTAACCAGGAGAAAAAAATAAAAATTAAAAATTTGCAGCCATGAACAGGGAAAAGAAAAAGAGCTGAAAACTAGGACTGGGAGGGGAAGAATAAAGAATAATAGTAAAAAGGACAAATGTATTATTAATAATAGTAGTTTTAAAACAGACAAAAATAAGCAAACTAAAAATCAGAAAAAAGAAAGAGAAAAAGAAAAAGAAAAAAATCAGGGGAGGAAAAGGCAGAGCACCCAGGCTCTGTCTGAGCACACAGACTGGGATGCAGTTCCTGTGGGCCTGGAAGGTGGGTGGGAGTGGGGGATCGCCACACCTCCATTCACCAAGGGGTGTGGGGTATAAGAGTAACTTGGGAAATGTCCCATCTTTTCAGTCGTCCAGGTCTGGAGTGTCCTTGGGGTTACTGGCAAGCAGAACCTGTTCTTAAGCCCCTGGCATCTCGGAGAGCCCTGTCTCTTTAAGTATCCAAAATGGTCAAGCTGCTTGTAAACATTCAAAATGGCAGCGTCCTCTGGACAGGCAAAAGTCCACAGCTCAGCCCACCTTTCTCTTCGCTGGTGCTTTGTGTTTTATTCCCCAGCCCCCAGAGCAGTCCTCCGTGCAGTCCCTGGCTAGCAGGGTTGATTTTTAGGTTAATTCTTAGGTCCTACCACCACTCAGCACTCTCCAAGATGTCTGTGCCATGCAGTCAGGCTTGCTCAGGATTGCTGCCAGACTGCAGCTCTGTATTCTCCTTTTTTGGTATTTTCATGCAAATTCTTCTGCTAGTTAGGGTTTAGTCCACTTCTGTATCCTTCCCTTCAAGGCTCAGGGATCCAGGATTATCTTCTGTGTCTGTGTTAATTGGTGGCCCTTTTCTTTATTGAAGAGGGTCTGTGCAGTCTTTCTCCCTATTCTGCCATCTTACCAGAAGTACCTATTGAAGAGATTTTAGTTTTTATTTTGTATTTTAGTTGTTTACTTTTGTATTTATTATTTTTATTTTTAAAGAACAAATTAAAACTGGATCTTTTTGAAAGTCTTCCTTAAAAATCTAATAAAAAAAATAAAAGAAAAAAAACATGTTTGAATTTGAAGGTAGCACTTTTACAGAGTTAGGACATTTTCCTGTCAGTGTTTAAAACATATAATATGTTTTGAGATGAGTTTGTTGTTTTTCATTATTGGTGGTTGAATTGAGGGGAGATTCGTTATTCTACAACTCTATAAATTTTGCCTTTAGAAGGGTGACAGACAAAGAAATTAGAAGAGAAGCATTTTATTTTATCAAATTATATCAGTTAGCTATTTCTGCATTGCACGGCACTTCAAAATATAGTGGTTTAAACCATCAGTAATTTATTTAGTTTATAATTCTGTGGGCCAGTTTTTTGGCTGAGTCTCAGCTGGGCAGTTCTTGTGCCGTGTTTGGCTGACCTCAGCTATGTCCAGGTTGGCTGGGAACTTGCTAGTCTAGGACAGCCTCTGCTGGAATGACTTATCTCTGCTCTGTGTGGTTTCATCTCCCTTCAGGCTCTTGCAGCCCTGTTCAGAAAGAGACTCATCAGGTTTCCCAGAGATGAGCAAAAGGGGCAAGACCTTGTGAGGCCTAGGTTCAGAGCTAGTACTTCATCACTTCCATTCCATTCTAAATTAAAGCAAGCCTCCTCAAGGCAGGCTTAGATTCAAGGGGTGTGGAAATAGATTCCACTACTTGATGGAAGGAGTTGTAAAGTCATATTACCAAGATGCAGAGAGGGGAATAATTGTGGCCATTTTGGCAAACAAAAAAGCTACAATATAAAGCCTTACACTGCTCACATAATATATGAATATCCAGTGCCGTTGTTGTTGTTATGTGCCGTCGAGTCGGACCCATCTCATAGCGACCGCTCCTTGGGTTTCTGTGGCAGTATCACTATGGAAGTAGATTGCCTAACCTTTCTTCCGAGGAGTGGCTGGTGGGTTTGAACTGCCAGCCTTCTTGTTAGCAGTCAAATGCCTTAGGCACTATGCTACCAGAGCTCCTGAATATCCAGTAGAGTTTCTGTAAGAATCAGGATTATATCACTTTTATCATTTGCCTATGTAATCACCTGTATTTTACTGGTACCATATAGATCATTATGCAACCTAAAAATAGTAGACTCTACACAGAGCTTCTGTATAATGATCACAGCTAACATTTACTGAATATATAGCATTTACTGCATGTTGGGCACTGTCCTAAGTATAATATGGCAGACCATGACTTGGTCTGAATCTTGATTTTACCACTTATTAGCTGCATGACCTTAGGCAATTCAGTTAACTTTACTGTGCTTCAGTTTCCCAACTATAAAAAGGGGGTAATAATAATAAACTTGCATATTTAAGTTTACTTATAAGGTTAATATGAGGACTAAATGTAAATCAGTCTATTTAAAGTGCTTAGAATCATACCTAGTGCATGGTAAGGGAGATACAACTATTAGCTATTGTTATAATCATCTTCATCATTGTCCCTCACAATAATTTTGGCAAAATTATTTCCCCCATTTTACAGTTAAGAACATTGAAGTTCAGGGAGGTTGACCAAGGTAACAAAGCCAATCTATGGCAGGACTAAGGCTCTTTAAGTCCTGAGTGTTGGTTGTAGAGCCTATGCTTTTCACACTATACAGTACTGCCATAGAACCCACTATGCACAAAACCGTTTGATAGTGTTTTCCAGAATGTCTGCAAGTCAGACATTTACAGATTGTTGGTTCTTTTTCTCTCTTCCCACTGACAACATGTGATAGAAGCTTTATTTTTCCCACTAACTGGTTTTTAGCTGAGCAGAAGTAAAAAGCAACACCATAGTAGTGGAAAGAACTTGCACATATAATCAACTAAATTAAACCAGAGAAGAATGGAGCCAGGATCAGCTGAGCTTCTTCCACATGCCAGGTGCTCAGCTACACATTTTACAAACATCTCATTTCATCTTCACATTATTCCTTTAGTTAGATAGTATCCCCATTTCATAGATGGACAAACTGAGGCTCAGCTTGTCTAAAAATCTCAAAGAATGAGTCTGACCCCACAGCTCTTTACACTAGGCTGAACTGCTAAATTAAATGTTAAAATATTCTATTATAAAGCAATTCTATAATAGTCATTACCTAATTTGTCCATTTTAGAAAGAAAGAAGGTCTGACTTTCTTCAAAGTGACTTTGCAGTTTTACTCTGATGAATTATTCTTTTCTCTTCCCTTCCAGAAGAGATATGTACCCTAGTTATTGCTGAGACGTTCCCTGAAGATGCAGGGATCTTTACATGCACTGCAAGAAATGATTATGGATCAGTAACAAGCACTGCCCAGTTGGTTGTCACCTCAGGTATGTGAGGAGTAAAAATGACTAAGGTTTGTTCCCCTGCGCTAATATGGTTTGCCACAGCAGAAAGGAGCTGTCCTAAAAGGTATGCTCAGCCTTTAACAAGGCTTGCTGCTACTCCAGGACTTATCCTAACAATTTATGTTTATCATGAAACAAAAGATTTCAAGAGAAGAGGATGAAGTGAAGAAGAGTGGAGGTGGAAAACAGAAAAGGATTAGGATAATGTAGCAAAGGAACACACATGGGGACGTTTTTAAAATCACGCAATCTTGGTCATGGAAACAAGGGAGCTATTTTCTAACATCCTCATGTTAACACAGAATCATGCTCACAAAGAAGACCACCTCTGAATCAAAGGTCCTGGTATTTTGACGGGAATACCAAATCCTAAGACTAGGAAATGCTTGTACAAATGAATCACTGTTTAATCCACTATTGCAGCTTCTGACAAAGTAATTTAAGATAAACCTACTGTAATTTGGAGAAGCTGCATGAGCCTCTAAACCATGTTTCATTGATAATTGAATATAATTCTGATATGAAATAAATAAATAAATCATACTATTAAAGCCAATGTTTAAAAATACTTGCATACTTTTAAGCTCAGAAATTTACCACTAAAGGCAGGCAACATAAAACAGCATTTACATTTATCATTATTTTTTAAACTGTGCTTGACTATTCTGTTCTATTACTTTCATTTACTTTAATGGTTTTATCTCTGTTATTCACATTAAAGTGATTTTGAAAATGTTTCTCTGACCCAGCAAGATATGAACCACCAGCCTTTTGGTTAGAAGTCAAATGCCTTAGTCACTAGGCCACCAGAGCTCCCTACAACCCCTCCTTGGGTTTCCAAGGTGATATCACTATGGAAATAAATTGCCCAACTTTCCTTCTGAGGAGTGGCTGGTGGGTTTGAACCGCCAGCCTTCCGGTTAGCAGTCAAATGCCTTAGGCACTACACCACCAGAGTTCCCACGTCACATAATAGAGAATGATAAATGTGGCACTAGTTTTATGAGACGAACTCAGAGAGTGAATTCAAATTGCACTTAGATTCCTTAGAAGAAAGAGAACTTGATGCTAGGTGGCAGCAGAGGCACAACCACAACTGGTTTAGGGATTTTTAAAGTTGAAATTATAAATATTTTTCGGAAGAAGCCCAGGTGGCATAGTTGTTAAGCACTGGGCTCCTAATGGATAGGTCCATGGTTTAAACCCACCAGCTACTCCAGGGGAGAAAGATGTGGCAGTCTGCTCCCTGAGGGATTGCAGCCTTGGAAACACTATGGAGCAGTTCTACTCTGTCCTGTTGGGTCTCTGTGAGTTGGAATTGACTTGACAGCAATGGGTTTGGGTTATCTTTTGCTCTGTTTTTCAATTAATAAAGAAATGTGAGGTTCATTTTAATGGGGGAACAATAGTACATGAGTACTTGGAGTGTTCAAAGGAAATCCCAGTGTCATGATTGGAGGTACAGAATGGGAAAGACCACAACATTGTGGTTTTGAGTTGGCTTGGACTGTCCCATCAAATGGCAGTAGGAGTTGTGCACAGCTCAAATAATATGGCCCAAATCCTGTACTCCACGAGTCTCTGTGGCAAAACTGGTGTGCAGTATTTCTCATTTCCTCTATCACATCTAGGGTAACTCAGCTACTGGCCAAACATAATAAATATTTTGGAGCTTTCCATTTTCCTCAATAAGCATTTTTGACTTTGTGCCAGGAGCTCTACTGGGCCCTGGGCAAGATGAGGAATACAAAGAAGATATGATCTCAAGAGGGTTTCAGTCTCCTGAAGTAACAAGTGAAATCTCTTTTGCACTGAGTTACAGTGGTGGCAATCATCTGACATAGAAAGAAACTCTTCTTTGAAATCATGAGACAGTCCACTTAGATTCAGAGATTTGTCCTTCCTTAGCTTTAACTTTAAAATAGAATGAATACCCAGTTGCCTGCCACATAAAACCTTTATAGCTTGAGCCAAGATCAGTAAGGCACAGGTAGAATAAAGTGTTCACTTGGATCCTTGGACTAAAATGTGAGTGGACCAAGCATTATTCATTGATAATTCATGTGTTATCCTTTGTTTTACCAAATTCTATCTTTAGCTCTTGTCGGAAGTTTGTCAATAAATCAGAAACTGGTTTCTCTGAATGTGTGCATAATCAGGAAATGAAACAGATAGCAGTCACTCAAAACAAGTTTAGAAGAACCAAACCTCCCAGCTGGCTTTACTTCTGCATCAAATGAGAGCATTGCAGCCACCTCTTCTTCGGCTACTTGACAGGGTGTGAGGGATTTTCAGAAGCTTCTATTACGTGTGAAAATAACTTGTTGAACTAGTAGCATCTTATTATTTTTTCCTCCCTTTCCCTTACTTAGCCAACAGTGAAAACTGTAGCTATGATTCAATGGGAGACTCCAACAGTGATCACTTCCAACACTTTCCACCTCCTCCTCCAATCTTGGAGACAAGTTCCTTTGAGTTGACTGCAAAGAAACCATCTGAGATCCAGCAGGTGAACAGCCCTGAGTTGGCACTTAGCAAGGCAGCCTTTCAAATGAAATTCAATTCTGCTGAGAGAGAAACTAACGGAGTCCATCCCAGCCATGGAGTAAATGGACTGATTAACGGCAAAACTAACAGTAATAAATCTCTTCCAACACCAGCTGTCCTACATTCACCCACTAAGGAGCCACCACCTCTGCTTGCCAAACCCAAACTGTGAGTATTTTTGCATGGTTTCATAATACTTTCCATACCTCTACTAAATTTCCTCTCTGGTTGAGGAGAACATTTTGCCTGGACTCCACTATGTGACAAGTTGCCCCTACTGTATGCAGTTTTTCTTGGCTGCTGTGATCATGCTACCAGAGGGGTTCTTCAAAAATATAAGAAATATCTAAAAAATAAAGGCGGCAAATGAGAAGCTTAGTCGAATTTGCCCTTTGCTAAAAGCTATAACCAGCTATGTCTGTGGAAAAATCTGTGAGCGGTGTGATATTGCAATGTTCAGGCATACTTTGCTTTATTGCACTTTGCTTTGATGTGCTTTACAGATAATTGCATTTTTTACATATCGAAGGTTTGTGGCAACCCTGCATCAAGCAAGTCTGTTGGCCCCATTTTGTCCAACGGCATGTGCTCACTTTGTATCTCTGTGTTACATTTTGGTAATTCTCACAATATTTCAAATGTTTTCATAATGCTATTACACACTTAATAGACTACAGTACAGTGTAAACATAACTTTTATATGCACTGGGAAACCAAAAAATTTGTGTGACTCACTTTATTGCGATACTCACTTTATTGCAGTAGTCTGGAACTAAATTTGCAATATCTTTGAGTTATGCCTGTGTAACAAGGATGTAGTCATTCACCAGAGCTGCTGGGAAAAGGACCCATTTTTGAGCCTAGGGCATTTCTAATGGTTTTAAAATGTAGTATCAGGGTGGCAATCTGATACAGATAAGCATGGGAAGACTAAAAATGGGATGGAAATTCTGTGTGCAGAACCTGGGGAGAAAGAATGAAACTGGAGGTAACCAGGCTTGTTGAGAAGAGCTCCCTTCACAAGAGAACCTACTTGGCTTTGGAATTCCATGAGCTGCATATTTCCATGAATACCACCTTCACATTTGATTTCCATTATTTTCTTGGACGATCAACCTTGCATGAGCTGTTTCTATTGGCGCTACACAGCAGAGTTGTTATGAATGGAGCCATTACAATGTCAGAGACAAGCAGGAATAAATTAACTCAAAAGGCCCTATCACAGCATAACAGACCTTGAATTACTGCCCTGCTGGAGGTCAGTGGAAATCTTAGAGTCATATAGAATGTATATATACTCTCCAAGGTCACATTTCCATGGCAATGAATTCTCCAGGATCTAGGAAAGCCCTTGATATTTTCCTTTGATGTCTGATGTTTTTGATTTAGGTGGGAAGGATTTCTTTAGGATAGGAGTTATTCTTTCTTTCCCTAGTACTGAAAAGCTTAATCTCTTCTCTCTGTTATCAGCTAATTTGCTAGAAATGTTAGGATTTTTAGGATATTCAAATTGAGGAATATCTTACATTTGTACATCATGTTAACATTTCCGTAGTGACTTCATGAGCATTATTAGGCTAGCCTATTAACTTCCCTAACAGCTGGGTGGACAATTTACAACAATCAATTTCTGACCAATCTTATGTTGCAGTATAAAAATGTTTATCTATTACTACCCAGCATTTAATTTTGTATTCCATGCCCAACTCTTCTCTCTGACAGTAGGGCTTTTGTGTTGTGTATAGTAGTGTGAAAGATGGTGGCTGGATGTTTAATACCTGTGTTTGAGCTCCATTGAGAGACTGCACAGGTAAAATGAGCTTGAAGTGGCAGCTTTTAAAGAGATTTACACTCTTGTAGCACTAGCCCATAAAATTAGTTATCCCTGCTGACTTCTTTCATCTTTGCATTTTGAATATGTATTTGCAGTGCCTTTAGTGAAACAAGGGACCTGCTCTCCTGGGGAAGAAAGGGGAAGTGTGTTTAATGACTAGGACTTGATTAAGTGAAATGTATCTACCATAAGGGCTGTCATAAATTGGGTATGAATCACAGGAGAGCAAACATTAGAAGCTGTTAACAGGCATTTACAACTCTTCTTATCTCAGGAGTTTCAACAGCTCTTCAGCCTTTAACTCTGCTTTACAGTGATGTTAGGGTATATGGTGGGGTGGGGTGTGTGTGTGTGTGCGCGCGTGTGCGCGTGTGTGACATGTCTGTAAAAGACAGACAAAATAATTTTGTCAGTATTAAGAGTGCTCAAGCACAGGATGGTGGTTTTGTTGTTTTGGGTTTTGGATGTAGGTTCTTGCATTTAATATTTTATAATTAACCTTTTGTCATGTTGTCACATCATCTTGATAACCATTTAAACATTTTCTATATTGAACAATTTAAAACAAAAGTAGAGAATGATGCATTATGAACCTTTGTATAACCATAATACAGATTCTAGCATTATTAAGACTTTACAACATTTGCCTTGTCTAGACTATTTCTTTTGCTGAAGAATTTTAAAACAAACCCCAGACATCATGTCATACCCTCCCATACACTTCAGTATATCTCCAAAAAATATGCAACCTTTCTTACAGTATCACACTTATATAAAGTTAACAATAATTCCTCTGTATTACCTAACTCCAAGTTCATGTTCCAGTTCTTCCTATTGTCTTTTGTCAGTTGGCTTGTCTGAATCTAGATTCCTACAAGGGTCACACATTGTTCCTGGTTGTTATGGTTCTTGGATATATTATAACCCAGAATGGCCCTCGCTGCCAGTGGCTTGTTGTTGTTGTTATTTTTGTTTTGTTTAAATGAAAGTTTACAAAGAAATTGGTTTCCCATTCAGCAATTTATACACAGAGTGTTCTGTGACATTGGTTGCAATCCCCACAATGTGTCAGCATTCTCCCCATTTCTACCTTGAGTTCCTCGTTTCTGTTTGCCCAATTTTCCTGCCCCTTCCTGTCTTCTTAACTTTGCTTTTGGGCAAATGCTGCCCTGTTGTTCTCATATAGTTGATTGCCCTGAGGAACATGTTCCTCCGGGGTGTTATTGTTCACTTTGTAGGCCTGTCTTTTATGTGACTAAAAGGTGATCTCCAAGAGTGACTTCAGTTCTACAATAAAAGGATATCTTAAGGCCATGGGCTCAGGGGTTCCACCAGTTTCTATCAGACCAGTAAGCATGTTCTTTTTTTTTTTAATGAATTTAAATTTTATTCTACCTTTCTCTCCCACTCTCTCACCTTCTACTGTGATCCTGGTCAGAGCCATTAGCTGTGATAGCCGGGCACCATCTACTTCATCTGGTCTCAGAGTAGCATACATTGTGGTTCATGAGGCCCATTAGTCCTTTGGACTAATTGCTTTCTTGAGTCTTTCGCTTTCTTCCCTCTTCCTTGTTCCAAATGGAAAGAGACCCATAGTTGTAATTTAATTTAGATGGCTGCTCGCAACCTTTTAAGACCCTAGTTGCTACTTACCAAAGTAGGATGTAGAACATTGTCTTTGAGGACTATCTTATGCCAGTGGACCTAGATGTCCCTTAAGACTATGATCACTAGTCCTCAAGCCTAGTGTCTCAGTCCTGGGAAGTATTTGATTATGGTTTAGCATAGGTTTGAAGAGTGACATCATGATTTGCTTATAAGTCAGATTTTTAATGTAAAATAAGATGCAGGAAGAAATGAACTTTAGTGTTTAAGCTCTATATAAAGGGGTTAGTCCCCTTCATGAGAAAACTTTAAGAAAGGCAGCTTAGAAATAACATTTGCCTGTAGCAGCTCTTAACACTTTCTTTTTTTCCCAAATAGTTACCTTTACAGCATCAATTAAAGAATTTAATATTGTATAAATACCTACCTTTTACTAGATATGAAGTAATATATGATACTACTTTATAACATGTATTAATTATTTTTTAATTTTTCTTGTGGTTACTAATATTTGATTGCCTTCTTTTTTATGTGCAAAATAAATACATATGTGATATGACAATGCAAACAATGCAGAAGAAATTTAGGAAAAGGTTAATACTTTTTTCCTCCCCTTCCTTTAACCTCTCTGGTAGCGTAGTGGCTAAGGCACTTAACTGCTAACCGGAAGGCTGGCGGTTCAAACCCACCAGCCACTCCTCGGAAGGAAGGTTGGGCGATCTACTTCCGTAGTGATACCACCTCGGAAACCCAAGGAGGGGTCGTTATGAGTCGGGACCGACTCGATGGCAAATAACAACAACTTCCTTTAACCCACTGTCTTGAGGTAATCAGGGCTAAAGGTTTGGTGTGGGATCTCTTCCATCCTTTTCTATTATCACAGCCTTTTCTGAAAAGGTTTGCTCATTGTTTTAAAGGTTTTATCCATTGATAAAGAAATGCTATTGAATGACATCTGTAAATAATTTAGTGGCATCTAAGTTACTGATAATTAATGACTACAGGTAACTGTCAAGTAAAATCCTTATACACATCTGTTTATTTCTTTTCATACATTTGGAAAAATTCAATGAGATTTTATGTTTGCCTCTTGGCTTGCAGTGAAAAATGAGGTTTAATCTTTTTACATCAGCTTATGATTTTATTCCCTTTTTTAAAAGAGAGCATTGTGGCATTTCATACATCATTTTGTAATCAAACTAATAGGAAACAGAGGAGAACAAATAGTATGAAATCAAATATTTACTCCATAAAGTAACCTCAAAATGGTGCTTGGTCCATCAGATTTCTGAAAAATGTCATTTTCCAAAGAAAATCTCATTGCATTTTCTCTCAAATAGCTTCAATAGTGATCTTGGGAAGAAAAGACAGAAATGTTATAAACTGTTTTCTCTAACAAGGCTCAACCCCTATCCTCTATTATCCAGCAGGATCCTAACCACTAGATTGCTAGATTGTAACCAACCCAGACCTACAACTGAATGGATTGGACCTGTCACGGAGCTATTTCCTGGCTCTCAATGTCATGGAGGTGTCAATTTCAGTTTCTTCACCTCCCTTTGTCATCATCATTTTCGCTCTTGCACTCTCCCTCATGGAATGGCTATTGTTGTTATTGGGTGCTGTTGAGTTGATTCCAACTCATGGGTGCCCCATGTGACAGGATAGAATTACCTCATAGGGTTTCTTGGCTTTCAAACCACTAATCTTTCTGTTAGGTGCCTTGCAC